GCCGGCGGTGGCGTCAGCCCCTCGTACTTGCAGCAGGCGCACCACTACGCCCAACACCACTACCACCACTTGCACCACTTGCACCACCACCCTCCCCACGCTTACCCAGAACCCCCGTCTTCCCCCTTGCCCTCGTCCGTGCCGCCTCTCTCCCCTCTACCGCTGCCACCGCCGCTAACGCCCTCGCCGCTGTCTTCGTCCCCTCTCCAAAACATGGATGCAGTGCAGCAGCAGCACCTCCCTCACCTCCACCACCTTGCCCACCACCATCACCACCAACACCACGTGCTCTGCTCCGACGGAGACAATGAGAGCGTGAACTCCACCACCACCAACTCCAACGACGATACCACCGTTAACAACTGCAGCTCCGGCTCCTCGTCACGCGACAGCCTCCGAGAGCCCATGGCCGGGGCCACTCTGGGGAAGCAGACCTATCAGAGGGAGAGTCGCCAAAGCTGGGACTCACCCGCCTTCAACAACGATGTAGTTCAGCGGCGACAGTACCGCATTGGACTCAACCTGTTTAACAAGTGAGTGTGGAGCAGGAATTCAAAGGAGAGTTTGGAGAAAGACGTCTTATCAGATTCTCAGCTCAGCGTGCTTTTATGAAAACATTCCTGCCAGTAAGACCCTTAAAAAAGTCATCTTAGCAACCCCAACCTGAGTGAGGACACCAAGCAGGAAAATGTCTACAGCCAGTTTTATTATCTTCACATTGAAAGTGAAAGTGAAAGTGAATTATTTTTCATTGTGACACAACACACCACTGCACACAACGAAGTGCTTTTACCCCCTCACCGAAGTTTATGCAAGGCTTACGCAAGACTCATTACTGTCGATCAAATAGAAACAAATCTTTCTAGGGATGTTAACTATTTTCCGATATATGATATGCCCATATTGTCCAAACACTTAATTTCCGATTCCGATGTTAATCGATACCGACATGTGCAGCGGTTTGGGTTGGAGGTTTGCATTTTTAGGTCACATCATCTGGGCAAAACCCAGGCATTTTGTTGCCGGGTATTCATTTTTGGAGGAAAAACCGATAACAATTTTTACCGATATTATCAAATTATGCAAATATCGGCTGATAATATTGGTTGGCTGATATTATCGGTTATTCCTAAATCTTTCTGTAAAACCAGAAATCTTTAAACAGTCTTGTTGGAAATTGACAAGAATTAATCAATTATGGTTCTATCAACAGTATCACTTATCGATTCCTTATCAACCTGACTTCAAAAATATAGGCAACCATTTGGATCGACTGTGTCACCACCACCCCGCTCCTTTGCCCACCTCTCTGCAGCTGACCGCCACTCCAGCTCCACACAAACATTTGGTTTTTATTCTCCTGCAGGAAGCCAGAGAAGGGGATCCAGTATCTGATCGAGAGAGGTTTTGTGTCGGACACTCCTGTGGGCATTGCCAGGTTTATTCTGGAAAGGAAAGGACTGAGCCGGCAGATGATCGGAGAGTTCCTGGGCAGCCGACAGCAGTTCAACAAGGATGTTCTGGAGTAAGTAGAAGGCCACTGTCACATGATCTCATCAGGGAACTCTCAGGTCAAGGCTGTTTTAACCCGTTACTGGTCAATAACTTTGACATTCAATTTGATGATCTGTCATCTTCAGCTGTGTCCTGGATGAGATGGATTTCTCTGGGATGGATCTTGACGCCGCTCTGCGGAAATTCCAGGCTCAGATCAAAGTCCAGGGTGAAGCTCAGCGGGTGGAGCGGCTGGTAGAGGCCTTCAGGTGATAAACCACACCTGTGTTTAAACCACTGAAGGGGTTTTGCCTTTGAGTCCAGTTGACGATGTTCATCGTATTTTACCTCTGTCTCTCTGTAGTCAGCGCTACTGTGTTTGTAACCCAGTGCTGATCCGACAGTTCCAAAACCCAGACACCATTTTTATCTTGGCATTTGCCATCATCCTCCTTAACACGGACATGTACAGCCCCAATGTGAAGCCGGAGAGGAAGATGAAGCTGGAGGACTTCATTAAGAATCTGCGAGGTACGCGTTTGGCAGTGTTTCAGTTTAAGACGACGCTGTAAAAAATCATTTGCTTCGTTCTGCTAACGCTAACAGTGGATGTGGCTGAGTAAGAGGGTGATGGACTGTTTACTTTTTGTCCAATCGGGTTTTTTAATGAATCGTTAAGTATTAATTCAATTATTAGTTTGTTTCTCAGTTGGCCAACTTAATTGGAAACAAAGCAAAACAAAATATTCAATTACCGAATTAATCAACCAACATCTAGTTAGTGCAGTTGATACACATTTCTGAACGAATTAACTAGTCAATCAATACAATGTATCATTCATCTAACTAAAGAATAACCCAATAAAACAACGGGTGGGTGCTAAGATTTACAGATGCTCTTGTGCCTAAATTGAAGGGGAATTTGTTTGTTTAAGTTTATCATTTCAATACTTAGGTGTTGATAACGGTCAGGACATCCCCAGAGACTTGCTGGTGTCCATCTATGGGAGGATCCAAAAGTGGGAATTGAGGACAAACGATGATCACGTGTCTCAGGTTCAGGCGGTGGAGAGGATGGTGGTCGGCAAGAAACCGGTAAGAGGATAGATTTGAAGGTCTACACCTGGTAAGGTGATAGCACTCATGATGTTACTGGAGAGAATAAAAATAAAATGAAAAAGGTCAAAAAAAACATTTCAAGCAGAATGACATGAAAAATGTTTCTGATTACTTATTTCATCAGTTCAGAAAATTTTTAAAAATAGGTAAGTGGTAATTGCTGATGTGTGTGTTTGTGTGTGTGTGTGTGTGTGTGTGTGTGTTTAACAGGTTCTCTCGTTACCTCACCGCAGACTAGTTTGCTGCTGTCAGCTGTTTGAGGTTCCAGATCCAAACCGAGCTCAGAGGAGCAGTGTCCACCAGAGGGAGGTGTTCCTGTTTAATGACCTGCTCATGGTAATGTTGGGGCGGTGGGCTCAGGTTCCCACATGAAGTACAGTCTTCTCCTCTGACATATTCTCTGCTTGTTCTTTTTTCAACTCTTACCACCTGCTCCTTAACCTTCTTGTTCTTTCCTTTCCTTTCCTTCATCCTCTCCTTCTACTATGTCTGCCACCGCCTTCTATTATTCTAATCATTTTTCCTAACGATCCTCTCCGTTCTCTTGATCTCTCGCTGCCCTCAGGTAACTAAGATCTTCCAGAAGAAAAAAACTTCAGTAACGTACAGTTTCAGACAATCATTTCCTCTGGTGGACATGCAGGTCCACACCTTCCAAAACACATGTAAGTATTTTCTGTGCCTCTCTCTCTCTCTCTCTCTCTCTCCCCCCCCCTTTAGCTCTGTGTATTTTGCTCTTTCCATCTGTATATATTTTTTTTGTTTGCCTTTCTTTTTTATCCCACAGACAGTAAATGCTGAAATATAAACCAGGGGTCCCCAACCCCTGGTTCGTGGTACAGACCTAGTGCCGGTCGGTCATTTGGTACCGGGCCACAGTGGTAGACAGTAAAAAAATGTACTTCAGTTTTACTAATTTACTCCATTCAAGAAGAATCCAGTCATATCCCATTAGGGATATGGGGCAGTGGTGGCTTAGTGGTTAAGGAAGCAGACTTGGGTCCGGAAGGTTTAAGGTTGGAGTCCACCAGCTGCCAAGTTACCACTGAGGTGCTGGCTAATGTGTAGGTTGTTCTGGTTCCCATAAAGGTTGTGGCAGCTGCCAAGTTACCACTGAGGTACTAGCTAATATGTAGGTTGTTCTGGTTATGGTTCCCATAAAGGTTGTGATTAAAAAGTCAGTTAAAAATGAGTACAGGTTGAACACCTACACTGAATATGACTATTTTTGTGGACCACTTCTTACAGAAGTCTTTTGTCACCCGTTTTTCGGGGGATTTTTGTTTGTTTGTTTGTTTGTTTGTTTTGTGACTCAGACTACCCTCATGGTATTAGACTGACGTCATCAAATCCTGGTGGAGAGAGAAAGGTGCTGATCGTCTTTACGGCTCCGAGTCAGCAGGACCGAGCCCGCTTCACCTCTGACCTCAGAGAGAGCATCGCAGAAGTGCAGGAGATGGAGAAGTACAGAGTGGAGTGTACGTAGAAAAACTTAATCTTATCAAATCTGCGATGGTTTTCTGGATTAATACCTAAATTAACGTCATATTTACTTCGGTGTTTCCTTCTACAGCTGAGCTGGAAAAGCAGAAAGGTGTGATGCGTCCCAACCTGCTAACAGGGGGAGGTTCAGGAAGTGGAGCCAGCACGACTGGTGGGCCCATGAAGAGTGAGATGCTGAACGGCACTCTGGGTAGGCCCAGCCTGGATGACACATATGCTTCGGTGGATGGACTGAAGCGCACAGCACTTAGCTCCTCGCTGAGAGACCTGTCGGAGACAGGTGCGTGCTCACGCCGCAGGGCGTATGACCTTGTGACATCACTGCTGCAGGCTTCCCATATAGTCACCAACAAATGAACAATCTGTGCTGTTTAAACAGTTGTTAACAGAGTGGAAAAAAATGTAGTATTGTATAGAAATCTTATGATTTGTAATAAAATATTGTAAGGTAAAGACAAAAGTATAAGACTGAAGTAATTAATAATTTATATTTACAATCTGGAAAGTACTTTCTAAGTGTACATTCAATTCCAGTACAATGATCAAGTCCTGATATGATTTCAAAATACAATTAGACAAAACATTCAGACAGGACTCCTCTGTAATTCCTGACATAATTTCAAATAAATTTAATAACCTAATTATGCTATTTCATTTTGTTTCGATATTAATTTCTATTATCTGCTTTATATAACAGGGAAGCGAGGACGAAGGAACAGCGTGGGATCCCTGGACAGTACAATTGAAGTAAGTGTGCCTAAAGAACAAATCATGTTTACTGCTAGCGCCCTGTGGGCTAGCCCCCTATTGTGCCCTCTTCTGACCGTTAGTGTACTACACATGCAGATATCGGCGGTTTGACATGCGTCACTGTTGCCTTTTTTTTTTTTTTACAAGCTAACTAACAAGCTAACAACCCTTATGCTAAACCTAAGAAGCCTTAAAACCAAATAGTAAGTCAGACAAACCTTTCGGCGGTTTGACATGCGTCACTGTTGCTTTTTTTTTACAAGCTAACTAACAACCCTAACAACCCAATAGTAAGTCAGACAAACCTCAAAATAAGCAAACACGCCCTCAAATAAAACAACCAAGCTGATACAAGTAAAATATTATAGGCCCTAACTGTAGGGTTACAATTCCTCAAAAGTACATCAACAACAGGCTAGGCTAAATTGATGCTCATAGGCTGAGCCAATATAAAGTAAAAACAGTATAAAGCCCCAAAACAATGCTAACAAGCTGAAAAATCAATGAAGAAAAACAAACAAAAAATAATTAAAAAATAACAAAAGCCAACCCTGAAACAGACCAAAGAGCTTGTGAGCTAGGAGTTCTTAGAACAAACGTTAAAAATTAAGCTCTAAAACATTATTAATTTAATATTGAAAAACAAAGGTACACATACTAAACAAAACCAAATTTGAATATTTTAACTTTTTTTTGTTTTGTTTTAATCTCATTTGCTACCTGTGTTGTATATAATGTATCTCTTTATATTCCCTCACATTTCAGGGTTCCATTATCAGCAGCCCTCGACCACATCAGCAGCACCCTCCACACACAGGAGGTCTTTCCTACACTCCTGTGATGGTCCCTTCTTCTCCAGCAGCCTACCGGCCACACCGCCCTACTCAGAGCCCCGGTACAGGGGTGGGGGGTGGGCCGGGGCTCTGTCACAACCAGGGAGGGGTCACAACCTCCCAACACGTGAGCGGGGGAGGGGTTGGGGGCGCAGGAGGGATGGCGGGCGGCCCGACTGTTGGCGGCATGAATCGGCAGGGGAACTTCTTTGGCAGTCGGCGAGGCAAAGTTCCTGGTCCCCTGATGATGACATCACCGACTCCTCAGGGTCCTCCCAGTCCTCTGATGATATCATCACCCCCCCACTACCCCGCCCCTGCACCTCCCATCGCCCACCCATCCTCCCCTTCCCCATGCCCCTCCCCATCACCCAACCTCGGTCAGTCAGACTCGGCAGGAGCTGGGGCCGTGGGAGCTCCGTCCAAACTCCAGGCGTTACATGCCCAGTACTGCCACAACAGCAGTGGAGGAGGAGGAGTCGGTGTAACTGGGCAGCAGCCGGCACCTCAGCCACCACCCTACCACCATCACCATCGCTACCACACGCAGAGCGTTTCGCAGCACCCCGTACTCTCGCACAGGTTCTCCGCCCCTCAGCGGCAGGGCCCTATCGGCTGCGTTCCCTCTCATACCCAGCAGCATCGGGGAATGCAGCACGCCCAGCACGCCCAGCACCCTCGCTACAGCACCGGCTTGGGCTTCACCACTCCTCCTCCGCTGTCCCCGCACTCTCCGCTCACCCCTACTACTCCGCACAGACTCTACCACTCCCACCCTGCGTTGACAACACGGCCAGGGGGAGGCGCCGGCAAACTCCCGCTCTCCATCTCTCACTCTCAGCCTCACCCACACGCCCACAGTCACAACCACGCCACGCACATACACTCCCCCCTAAGCCCCTCCCCGTCCGCCTCCACCCACTTCATCTTCTCCACTCCACCTCCGCAAACGCCGTCGGCACGACTGGTCACGCAGGCAACGCCGCAGTCCTATATTCCCCAGTATCCGCCCCTCTCCTCCATCCCGCCGCCTCCTCCACATTCACCCTTGCCTCCCCCTACCACTGCGCCACTCTCCCCACATCCAGGGGCAGCTGGAGTGGACCCAAAGCGAAAACCAGTGAGCAGGATCAGCACGGTCGTTTGAGAATCAGGCAGAGGCCGAGGACCGTAATGTGTTATCCAGCTGGGAGCCACCGGGGGGCTTTGTTGAGACGGAACAGAAGAGGAAAAAGATGTGCCAGAGCAGAGGGAGAACGAGGAGAAGGTAGAGGGGGGCAACTGCAAGGCTTTCAAAATGGCTGCCTGTTTCGGAGAAGAGCACTGAGAGCAGGAAAGAGGAAATTACTCAGCCTGTGTTATTTCCACTTGCATTTCCCTCACAGGTAGAAAGAAGATTCATTTGTTTCCGCGGGGGGAAAGAAAAAAAATCCTGGATAAATCTGCCTCCTAGGATCAACTGCCAAGAACGAAAAACCGCTGCATTTTCATTCACGATTATCTGAAGAAATCGCTCTCATTTTCCCGCCGCATTTCTCAGAACATCTTTGAGAAACTTTACAATTCATTGGTGGAAAAAAAAAAGAATTCAGGGACCAGGGTTGAAAGAACAGTGCCTGATGGGTTAGCACCCAATGCTGATCCTGTTAGCTTGAGGGACCCAGGTGGAGTAAGAACCGGACAAGCAGAAGCAGAAACAAAAACCGTACTATTCTTACGCCGCCTATTTCGCAAATAAGCCACAGTATCCTCTTTTGGACCTTATTGTCAAGATGAAAAATGGAGTTTCACGGTTGTATTAGGTGTTCACACATTGTGTCTTCATACTGTGTTGTAAACACTCGCTGCTGCTAGAATCAGTGTGAACCACAGGGACTGGCCCTACAGAAAACAAACAAAAACAATCTTAAGCATTCCATACAGTTTCAATCAGTTTGTAGAGCATCATTCTCACACATCCAAGTCCATTCAGGAAAATCTGTGGTTTCTAAATTTCCATTCCATTAGACCACGGAGAGCAAATTCAAAATTATTTTAATCAGAACTAAAGGTGAAAAAAAAAAGTCACCATGCTTGCATGTGCATGGTAAAGTGAAAATGAATCTGAAGATATTTAAGTTCACCACAGGAGGTCGCTACAGTGCTTTTCTTCACCCTGTACATATAAGTGGTATTACCGTCTCAGGCTGATTTGTAGTGATACCTAACTGTTGGTTACCAACCTTATACGTGTGGTGATGTTGTTACTGCGTGTGTCAGTACCTCATACAACCACAGAGGGAGTGATGAGGTGAGACCGAGCGACAGCGGTGCTTCACATTGACTCAGTGCAGTTTCGTGTCTTCAACAGGTTTTCTTTTTTGCGTGACCTGTGCAATATTCACTGAGCGCCGGTGAGGTTTTCGCTTTAAAAAGCACTATATGCAGGAGGATGAGACGATGGCGGCGGTCGGGTTGTCCTTTAAGTCAGCGATTATTTGGCCAAAAACTAAAAGAAAGTGCATTAGTGACAACTACTGACAACTTTACCTTATACATGGACAATAATGCATTTGAAAGACTTTACTAAGCCATTGAAACACAAGAAGAAGAAAAAAACAACAACAACAACAACAACTACAGATGTCTTATTTTTACCCCTTACTTTTTGTGGATTACAGGGTTTCAGCAGNNNNGTGCTGTCTGATGGGACTCTCGAGTGTGTTTTATTCTTGTGAAATCATTTGTACTGAAGCCAGTGTGAATGTCCCCCATTATTATTTACCCTCCCGTTGTGGTGATATATATGTATATATATATTTGATATCTATTTTATGCTCTGCAAAAGAGTTGCCTGTGAAGGATATTATGAAAAAAACAGAGTGTCCTGTCTGTTTTTTTCAGCACCTTATTAAACTGCTGAGTCACACTTGATTTGCCTACGTGCACAACCACAGTTAAACCTGAACACGAATCGAATCCAATTTTATAATGTCGTACAGAGCAAGGTAGAAAGGTTTCTATTCGGAAGTCAGGCTGAAATGCCTGTTCAGGGTGAGAGCCCCCTGCTGGCCTGACGAGGCTGGCTTCAAATTCTGACTATGGATTAGCTGTGGCTAACAAAAAGGTTCGTTTTTTTTTTTTTCTTAACGTATTGTTAACACACACAGTACTTAGCAAAAGGCAGTGAGGGCCTGATTCGAGTATTTGGTATTTTAGTGTAAATCAGAAAAATCTGTACAGAAAATCGTCCGAAAACAACACATCAACTTGGTTTTTTACACGCGTCAGAATTTCTTCCACATTTAGAACATTCTCTCTGTGTTGTTAATTTAAAGTGAAAATGTGCAAATTAGGCCACAGGGTATGTCATTTTTATAAATTTCAATTTGAGCAGTTTTTCTTCAACGTGACATCGTCGTACTCTCATTACGGTCCGTTATGCTTTAAGAACTGTTCTGTCACTAGTACGGGGTTAAAAAGCTAAGCTAATGGGCTTTTCCCCCAAAATATCTTTAAGGTTCTTATACGAGTTGTGTCCGTTTATTGTGAAGCAAGAACAAATAACGGTAGAGTACCTAATAATGTTGTGTTGTGAAAATGGAAAAACGGTGCCTTCGTGTGGAAGGATGGTGCAATGGCGAGGAAGGGCGGACAGAAATGTCGAAATATAAAAACATTGTAACGCCTACGTCATTAACCTATTGATATCTTGTGACCTTTAACTATTAAAAAAACGTAAAGCCATTCACCTGACAGTCGTGAAGGACTGAGCTCATTGTCATGTCACCCAAACCCTTTCCCAAAAGGAAATCTAAAACTGGACCTAAATGCATCGTGGAGGATGACTCAACATCTGTCAACTAGAAATGTTTCTTTATTTTTAACATCCTAATTTTGCTCTCCCTTTAGAGCCGCCGTGTCTGAATGAAGGCTGTTTCATATTTTTCCCAGTTCACTGAACACATCTGCTGATGTCAGGGCGGGGAAGCCCAAGGACGGCTGCTAGAAAATTCTTCAACGCTAACATCCATTTGTACTGTTTTGACTAGAAACGAGCCTTAGCGCCGGTCGATCATTCCGTCTCATGTGCCCAGCTTTACACTGGTGGATGATGGGGGCGGGGCGGGGAGGGGGGGGCAAATACCCCTGATACCCCAAAATGCAAACATCGTTTCATGACACGTTTCTAACTTCCCTGTGAATGCATCAACTGTAGATATGAACTGTACAGTGTGTTCTGTTTTTCAGTGGGGCTAACAGCATCAATCTGTATCCAGTTCAAAACTGCTTGAATTAACACAGTGCATGCTCTTAAAAAAAACACAACAGTTCACCGAGGTTCTTTGAACTTTTCAGGATTTTTGAAGAAAAGATTTTTTTTTTTTTTTTTGAAAAAGCCATTCCGAATAAGTCTGAAAAACGGTTGTTCTCAAACTTTTCACATCGTGTATCACCTCCGAAAAAAAATATTTGGCATTAAAAATACCACCGATAGTGAATTGCAGCAACCCCCGTCTAAGCACAACATACAAAGAACATAACTGATTTCCAGTAAGATTTATGAGTATTTTTTTTTATTCAACCAAGGCCATACTGTACACAAGTGAGAATATACAACAGCTGTATTTATTAACTTAACTAACCGGTTAACCTTAACCAGATTCTCTAGCGTACCACTAAAGGGAACCCGAGTACCAGCAGTGATACACGTGTCATAGTTTGAGAATAGCTGCTCTAACCCGTCGTCATGATTTTGTAGGTTCAGTCTCAGTCGATGGAGTTTCTCAAGGAACCATCCTTAATTTCTCTGTTGTTTTCAAATGAAGAACCTCTTTAACATTTAAGAGCGCAGCACTGATTTTTCTTTTCTTTTTCTTTTTTTTTTTTAAATAAATATTGTTTTGTGACGAGCTTCTACAAACACGATGTACTCCTTGGGCTGTTTTGTATTATTGCTACTTTTTCATTTTGTTATGCGCTTAAGAAAGTGAAACAAGTGACTTTTTTTTATTATCGGGTTCCTTTTTTTTGGGATTTTGTAAAAGTACTTGTTTTTATTTTGAAATGTTTACACACACAAAAAACAGTACTTTTCTATGATTACCATGAGACGTCTACAAAAAAAAAAAAACGAAACAAAAACAGGCTGCCATAATTACTTCCACTCACCCTGATTTCTCGGAATCAAAATTCTTTTACCCACCTATCAGCGGGATTGGTCGGCACTCTTCAAAATTCAAAGCATTAAAAAAAAACCCATAAGGAGTTAAAGTTCGGGTTGAATTCTGGATCATTTTGTCGCTGTTGCGTATCTACCGTCGGCGTTCAGTTAACATTTTAACGACTAAAAGCTCTCAAGGGGATCCAACCTACCTCGCGGTGAACCTACTCCACCTTTCCGCCTGTCTAACCCAAGGTTTTTAACCAAAATCAATCAATCTCCACCCCGATGTCTTAGCATGTTTTACCGTAACCTGTACCACTGCCAATCGCAATCTCCCGATTCTAAGCTTGTGGTTTTTTATTTTTTTACAAAATTGTTTCTTCCCTTGTACAGACCTATAGCGGCTTTTTTTTTTTTTTTTGCAAAACGCAAACTCTTACTGCAGATAGTTAATTCATCACTGTTAACATCAATAAGGCCTTCACCAGTTGCCGCGCTGGAGCGTTATTGCTGTATCGGGTCAAATGCCTATGAGTAGGGTTTTATTTATGTTAATCTGTAAAGTCGTGCTTTTTCATTCGTCTTCCTGCTGTCACTCTTGGTGTTCTCACTAAAACTGTACAGTATGTCCTACACTTCCTTGTCTGCTTGTCAAAAGTCTTCTTTACCTCCCGTTCTGAATACCAGATCCTGGACTCCATAGGTTGTGATTCGTTGCTGTATGTGAATTAAAAAAAGAAACACATCGGATGGGCTAAAATTGCTATGACAACAAATTCTACAAGACGACTTGCAATTCTGTTATGTTTTTAAAAATGTTTTTAGATGTAAATATTGATGATGAATTAACTATCTGCTCCAACAACCTAACGTGTTTTTCGTGGACGGCGATTTTTCAAACTGTGTGGGTGGTGGAAGTAATGATGCGGTTCAGGAACATGCAAAAACACAGCTTCGATTCCTCTATTTATTTATTTATTTAAACGACACACTTACTTTTGCCCGGGTGTTCTCTCCACTAGCAGTTTGCATGTGTATTTATTCCAGTATCTGCACTGAATGAAACTGTATTATAAACATGAATGTACAAAACCGTGAATATGTGAAGAATTACACTCTGCTCGGCAGAAGGCGCTTTTTTTGTCTCTGACTGAGTTTGCGGCAGGAACAGAAGGATTTCGAGGCGTTAGAAACAGATCTGGTCTGTCAGCTGCGGGCCGAAACAGGGACGACTGAAATGACAATGATGATATGATAGATATGATGAATAAAAGCACATCAGGTCTGGCTTTTAATACAGTTCTTCTGTTCCTATGTGAAGACGGTATGTTGTAATCAAGGGCATGGACGTACGCGCGTGCGTTGTACGTAACGATGCGACGCGGTCAAAGCTATTTCCTGTTTATAATGTAGAGTGACGAGAGGCTGAAGTAGTCTTTGTAAAATTGTATGAGTACTGTGTCGAATGTGTGAACAGAGTTGAGATTATTTTAAAAACGATGTACTGAAATTTTACCTGTGTATATAAAAATATATGACTTGTCCCTTGTTTTTGAAACTGCAGAGATATGGACAAAAGTGGAAATATTTATTGCTCTAAAGATATAAAAATCTGTTTATGTTGATGGAGAGGTGTGTCCTGTTTTGTTTTGTTTTGAAATCCTTTTGTGGAAAATGCATTAACCACGCGCTACACAGTGTGGCAATTCTCAGAAACAAGTAGTAAGTGTCAAATTAATAATAAGTCGTTTTTCCATCCAAGTTGATGTAAATACGTTGGACATACAAATACACTTTATTGTAAACCTAAGTATAATCAGCCTTTAAACGGTCCATTTAAATTCCACAACATTGCCAAAAGTCTACAATTTCACCTGATAAAAGGGACAATATTACAGCCCAAAACAACACTTCCTGATAAGACTTTCACCTTTCAATTATATTTTATTTATTTATATTATTTTATTCTGTAGGAATTTTTGAAGTTTGTGCTTTATAATTATTTATGGGCAACGTATGAATGCAACATGTAAAAAGAATATGCGTTTGTGTGCAAAATTAGTTGATTTAATTTTGATCAGAGGGTAGTTGACCCTTGGGTCACGCTCCAACACAGTAGATGGCGCTAATGTGCCTGAAGGAGTTCGTGCCACCGTTCGTAAACCGGAAAAGAAGAAAAAGAGTACGGCGTGTCTGTGATAGTGCTCACTCTGTAGGTTTTGTAATTGTGGTGAGTTACCTTGAATTTAAACGTGTATTTTTAAAAAATAAACTTTTTCCTAATATTCCTAATGTGACCCGACTAAGCTGTGAGCTTAGTCGGGTCAGTCGGTAACAGGTTTTATGTTTACGGAAGTCCGTTGTAGAAGTCAGCTGCTACGCTCATGCTAACCGACAGCTGTTGCCGGTTAGCAGCAAGACAACATATTGGAAATTCCCATGAGAATATTGGCAAGGGCATAGTGACATTGCCGCGAGAATAGACGCAGATTGAATTAAAAACCACTTATGTTACCATGTATTAGCTGTTGAAAACTTCACTGAGCTTCGGCAGCCTGACGTCACAGAACCATGGCGGCACACATGGAAATGAACAGCGAAGCCAAATAAGTTTTTAATGAAATATACTTACGAACGACAGTTCATTTGTTCTTTTACAAACCCTGAAAGTGGCTTTAATTAAATAAATTCACTAAACCTATTTGAAAATGGTTAATAGTTACATAAGAACGCTTTATTAACCGAGAGTTTGTGCCAAAAAGTCATTTAGAACTTAAATGGTTAAATGCTGAGTATGTTAGTTACATTATAAACAGACTCCAAATATAATTTTAGATGTGTGAAAAGATATCACAACTATAATAAGATGAATATTTTTAATGTTTTAAATAATTATCTGATCTGTTGATTTACTTTTTAATTGAAGGGTGATGGCAGGTCCAGAGCTCTTACTGGACTCTAATATCCGGCTTTGGGTGGTCCTGCCCATCGTCTTTATCACCTTCTTTGTTGGGATCATTCGTCACTATGTCACTCAGCTGCTCCACAGTGACAAGAAGGTGGAGCTGGAGCAGGTTTCTGACAGGTCAGATGATCTACTTTTGGTAGCGTTACATTCTGATTGCAGCCATTGATATGTCAATATGATCTGCCTCTGATTGGCTATTGTACTGGTCATTTTAATGTTACTTTTTGTTGTCAATTTTCAGTCAGGTCCTCCTGCGCAGCCGCATCCTTAGAGAGAATGGGAAATACATTCCTCGACAGGTGACTTTAGTATTATTGTTTGTTTTTGCTGTTAATGTCTTGGTATTAAAGCACTACTTAAAAAAACAACTACATCACATAAAGTGTTGTTGATAAGTTAGAAAAATTTAAATGCCGGATTAAATATTCTCCTATTTTACTGAAATATGACTGAAATAACAAAGGTTTTAACGAGACCAGACTTTTAATCCTAAGGTCATTTTTATTAATTTTCTTTTCTTTTTAATTCAGTCTTTCAACATGAGAAAACATTATTTCAACAATGCAGAGACTGGATTCTTCAAGAAGACTAAGAGGAAAGTCGTCCCTAAGAACCCAATGACAGGTGACGCTAAAAATCCGTACATTTGTTTCTGTAAAACATTCTGTAGTTGAGTTTGGGTGAATTCCCATGAAATCACAGCTTTTTTCCTGAAAGTGTGTACTGTGTGTTTCAGACACCAGCATGGTCACAGACATGATGAAGGGAAACCTGACAAATGTCCTACCTATGATTCTGATTGGTGGATGGATAAACTGGGCATTTTCTGGATTTGTCATAAGTGAGTCTACGGTGTCTGTTGTAATAGTGTGTAAAAATGTGACATTTTGTTGCTGCAAGTAAACTGTAATAGTGTGTAAAAATGTGACATTTTAGCAAAACAACATTGTGTTGCTGCAAGTAAACCCTCCTCAATTGACTGGACACATTTGAATGTTGTATGTACTCTAACATGTGATATTTTGATTTTTAGCAAAAGTGCCGTTTCCTCTCACTCTGAGGTTTAAACCCATGTTACAAAGAGGAATCGACCTGCTGTCACTCGATGCATCCTGGTAAAAAAACAAAGACACAACAATTGACTTAAATATAGAAACTGTTTATTTTCTGCTTGCAACAACAGATAATATATCCTTCAGATTTCTTTTATTCACACAACCTTGACATGTTTGTGTATTGTCTGTTGACTGTCGTGTGTCAGCTAATATCTAGTGTTGATGTTTTGTCAACCGCACTGTAAGCCATCCATAGGGTAGATTTTAGGTTCTCCTGTTCTGACTTAAATATCCCTAGCTCTTTTAATGATGTTACTTCATCACATTCTTGATGTTTGTGTCAAGTTTCTGTTTACCTCTGCTGCGGACAAGCACAAAGTGAAGGGAGTTAGCCTCGGAGCTAATGTTAACTTCGGCCCTGGAGCAGATCACTAAGTCTCTCCTGTGCATTCCAACTACGGTCGTGGCGTCGAAGCAGGAAAGAGCTAACATGTAACCAGTTGTGTTACTGGCACTGTTTAAAAAAAAAAAGCATTTATTTAATTAAAATTGATTTAATTTAAAAAAAATCTTTCTGTGTAAATATCCCATGTTACAACGTGGACACATGTGGTTTTTAAAGAAGTGTGGCCTATATATGTACAATTAGTTTTTTCTTTTTAAATTTAGTGGGTGAGGCTTATATTCAGGTGCGTCAACAGTCTGCAAATGATGGTATGTTAACAACAGACTGTGCCCAGAAACAATCAGTGATTTCAGTTTGTCCACAGGGTAAGTTCTGCTTCCTGGTACTTCCTGAATGTGTTTGGACTCAGAAGCATGTACAGCCTCATCCTGGGACAGGACAACGGTAAGACCTTGACCTTTGATGCTAAGTTAGATTATTGTTTTTAGACAAGTTTGTTTTCTCCAGAGACACATTAACCTTTAATAAAACAACTAAAAATACTTCACATCTACTTCACAAACTCACAGCTGCCGATCAGTCTAGGGTCCTGCAGGATCAGATGACCGGTGCTGCCATGGCCATGCCACCTGATCCCAACAAGGCCTTTAAGGTAAAGGTTTAGACGTTTTTAACTATACTGGCTGTTGACATTTTTTAATTATCATTAAGCCAATGTAACAACTTAGTAACTAACCGTTGTTTTTTTAAGCTAACTGAGAGAACAAATGTGTTTTTGAAAAAGTCTTCAAAAATAAGTTTCTGAAAAATGTATAAAAATGTACTAATTCGTAAAATAAGTAGCAATGTCCTTTTTTAAAATTCTGAAATTCTAAAATTTTTAGGCATGTCAACCTAGCAACATACTGCAGTAATAAAAGACTAAAAAAAGTCTTCAATTTTTTTTTCTCAAAATGGAATACAAATGCGCCCATTTGCCTTTAGATACCAAATGATGTCCTTTTATATGGTTAAAATTCAGAAAGAAAAATACTTCTTTGCTACATCCACCTTGACATGTTTCCAGACTTAGTCGTTTTGTGCCTTTTCTTGGTCTGTTTAGAGCGTTTGCTCCATGTTGTTTCTACTCTCGGCACTGATTCTAATATGTTCTGCACTTCATCAGCTTCCATGTGAAACACAAGCGAAGATGCTGTATGAAGAACAGTGAAATCATGTCAATGACAGATCACTTAGTTTATTTAAGAACATTGTGTCAAATCTTTGCTTGTATTTTGTAATGCTTATGTTAATGAGCTGTTTGTTTATGTCAGAGTGAGTGGGAGGCGCTGGAGATTGTTGAACATAAATGGGCGCTGGAGAATGTCGAGGAAGAGTTGATGCGCAGAGACCTGAACCTCGGAAACGTCTACAACCGCGATATGAAGTCGGCCATATTTTAAAACAACCAGGAAAAGCCTGAGACCTGATGACGGTAGGCTCTTTTGGAAGAGACAAACAACACAGTCCAATCTTTGGTACTCTACCTCAGACACTTTGGAATCTTCTGAGTTTTGAACTACTTTGCTCTTTGATGTGCCTTTACCAAATAGTTATAATCAAGAACGAGAATTATTTTTGTCCTTAAAGTCACAACACTGTGATTCTGAGACACTTAAAACCGATTTTTACAATCTACGATCTATAGAGTAAGGATTTATTGTCTTAACAACTAAGTTATTGATCATTTACAGTTCAAGCTGCGCAATGAGGGTATCAGTGTTTTTATAAAATGTCCAACAATAAGCGTGTCGTGTCTTCAATGCATTTTTCCCAAAAAAAAAA